TAAAAAGGTATGTGCTGAATTCCATGAGAAGGTTTTTTATGATTTAATATATGGTCGTTGTTGTACCTACAAAAATGCAAGCTTACTAGCAACTAGTTTCTGAATCAAATCGAAAGTACCTATTTGCCATGAATGTAAATATGTACCTGCAAAGTATGTCAATAAATTTGTGTGATGTTGACCAGAGAGTTTTATCATCTGGGCATTTATGTCGCTTCCTACATTAGGTGTTAAGCATAGTAATTACGGATGAACTTTGTGCCAATATCTTCAATGCACATTGCACAATGTATTAGCATGTCTACAACCCTCACTGATCCTGCTATAGCTATAGGCATTTGGCACCAGCTTGACCAAGGGCATGAACTTCACAGTTGTACAACCTTTTGTTTTGTCATGTACCACCAGTCATTTTTTTGTGCACCAGTCACTTTTTTGTGCACCAGTCACTTTTTTGTGCACATAGCAGTGCACACAACAATGTGCAGAGGGCCTACACAAAAACAACATGATTAGTGTGCACTATGCACAGCATTGTACCCTGATTATTTGAATATTTTGACCACTCAACAGTCAACAGTCAGGAGATAATTATTTAATATCACATTTGTTATACATCACTTGTCAAACAATAGCATGATGACACACATTTTGACAAGCATTCATGGTAGTATTCCAATAAGTTGGACAGTCACCTCCCTGGGCGTCATTTTTCCGGGAAGGTACCTCTGCAGTGTTGTGGTAGGCTAGGTTGAATTGGGTTAAGTTAGGCGAAGTAAGGTGGTTAGGACCAGGTCAGACCGTAAGGCCTGGTCAGGTTGATTTTAATCTTTCACTCTAATTTGACATAGATACCTATTCCCTATGTTTTTGCTCCAGCCTGAATTTCATTAGGTAATGAGTTAATTTTGCTTTGTTTTTATCTGTCTTGTTTTGTGTTTTTGTCCCTTATATTTTGCCCCATAGGCAAGGGTGGATCTTTTCCAGGAAAGGTGGTGGAGCATGATTGGAGGCGCTCAACCAGACGGCATAGGAGGGCACGATTTCTGAACGCGCACTGATGCCTGATTCAAGCCACGCTGTCTTCATGCGGGGCGGCGCGCTACTTAAAAGTCCCTAAAAGAACGGGAAATGATGCCGATAGAACCTTCAATCATTCTGGGCTAACGCTTATGACTTGGAAAATGTCGCGATCCCAATTCAATCGAAAACCTGTGGGCTCTTGTTCAGCAGGAGGTGTATGAAGAGCCACCCGCCATAACCCTATTCCTGGCGGGGGGGCCTCAGGAGCCCCCCCCCCCTGAGGTTTTTTGGTTATTTCTCCCAAACGCGTTGAGCTAGGAAGCTCAAATTTTCTGACTTTTCCTAAAAGGCTTCTACGCAACATGTCTGAACATTTTGAGTTGATCTGACCTCAGGTCAGGTCACCAGAGGCGGTTTGGTGACCCTACCTCAGAAAAGTTTGCAATCACGCCAGAGCTAGAGTTTTTGACCGATCAATTTCTTCTCTTCAGGCTTTAGTTAGGGTACCAGTATGTGCAATTTGTATATCTCGGAATTTTGATATCGGTGACCTAAGGTCAGGTCAGTTTCGCGACCTCCCCATTATAAGTCAATGGGGGAAAAATCAACTCCCTGTTTTTACCACTAAAACGGGTCGGAATGGCCCCATATACCATACATGACTTCATATACGATCAACCTTCACTACCTTGAGGTCTGTTTTGCTGTTGGGCAGCTGTGAGGTCATGTGACGTCATCAAAGGTCACCAAAGGTTTTTGGCCAATAACTCCGTACAGGAACAAGATACAGACGCATGGATGGTCTCATTGTGTTCAGCTCGTCAAGACGCATCGAATGATATACATGATGACCTCGAGGTCACGTGACCTGAGGTCAACCTTTGACCTTGACCTTTCGAGGTCAACATATATATCATTCGATGCGGATTGACGAGAGGATCACGATGATGCCCTTAGTTTGTTCCTATCTTGACTAATTCGAAAGTTATTCGAGAAAAACTCTCTCCATATCTAGCGCCGCCATTTTGACTTTTTCGACCCCTGTGACGTCATCTTTGACCTGACCTGAAAATGACCTTAGTAAAAATTGTAGACCTTGTCCATGCGTATCCGATGCCGTTTACCGCTTGTCGCTATCTTGCTTCGTTCTCGAGATGTCAGGGGGGGGCCGAATCGGCCCCCCCCCGCCAGTTTCTTGTCCCGGCGGAGCCCGCCAGGAATAGGGATAAGCACTGCTCAACCGCAGGCACAGGTTTAGACGGCGTTGGTCCGCATCAAAGCCAGTGTGCTGGAGAATTCATTGGCTGAAATGCTCCAGAACGTTCACCACTGTGTTTTTATGAAAGGTGGCTACAAGCTCAGTTAAAAGAAAAAGTACCAGATTGTTTTGCTTTTTAATTACAGCGGGAAGAAAGGTGTCCGGATAATTTCGTTACACCCCCTGTAATGTTCAAATCCTTCTCCTATAATTGGGACAACACAAGAGCCCGTTGGAGGGAGGCCTGAATAAAAAATAGTTGCTAAATTCGAAATCAGCTCCAAAAACTAGCCTAGAAACATGTAAAACTCGAAAAAGGAACCGAGGTCATCAAAGGTCATTGAGCTGACCTGACCTTCAGGTAACCTTGACACCCACCCTAATGCATGGGACCAGCATCATATCACATGTTTCAACGCTTGAAACCACGTGAAGACTGCAACCGCGCGGCTAATGCGATCCGACATACGCCGAATCGCGATTCGGGCCAAACATGGTCTCGAGAAATAGGTCACAGGTCAAAGGTCATTTAGGTCAGGGTCATGAAATTTCCAGGGTAGGTGTAAAATTGATAAAATCGGGGGCATTGAAATTTTCGTCGCGATCGGACGGTTTTTACACGAGTTACTCACGAAAAACCGATAAAGCGCACCCAAAAAGGCAGAAATATGCACATGCTATATCCTATACTGCAAAAAAAAGTGCATCATTTTTTAACGTCGCCGACAAATTGTAATTACCCTAAGCTCAGGCAGATGTATGGTAGAAAATGCCCCAAGTGAAATACACTACGGCGGAAATAAAATACCCTACGGCGGAGCTCGGTTGCAATTTGTAAATACGCAGCTCTACCGGGGCACCATCGATCGCCGACCGCGCCGTCCTACGGCTTCGGGGTCGGCGCGGCACGGCGGCGGCCGGCACCTTTTTGCCCCGGGCAGCCGGCTGGCCGTGCGACTGACCGGGCGGGGTGTGGGTCTGACCGGGCGCCCGGTGCGCGCGGAGGCCTCTCCACGGCCCGCTGCCGGCGGAAGGGGGCCGTTCCGGTGCGCCGGACGGTCGGTTCCGGTGGCAGCCCGGTGTGTCGGTCGGGCGGTGCCGGCCGGCTGACCACACCCGGCCCACGGTCACCGACCGGCGCCGCCGCTCACACCGACCTCCGAGGGGCACGGCATGCTCCTGGGCCGTCCGATACAGCCTCATACCGGGGCCAAAGTTGGGCAGAGATAATATTATAGTAAGGCATAGGTAGAAGGATTTGAAGAACAATAGAGCATACTCGAGAAACGGGTTTCCAGTCCCACGCTGTAGTTGTCTTATCAAACAGTCACGATCACCAATCATTACATTATCACAAGGCGGGACAGAACGGCAGCGCATGCCTATGAAATGACTGACAGATTGTCAGACAGAAGCGGGCCCAGCGGCCGTGCCGGCGGGTTCCGAGGGCCGCGCGCCGGTGCGTGTGCGGAGGGAGGGGGCCCGAGCGGGGCGCCCGTCTCCGAACCCTCTAATCAGTGTCTGTGCGGCTTCCCGGCGGGGTGGCGGGGGTCGATCGCGGTCGGGGGCCGCACGGAAAAACGCCACCGGCTCGCCGGTGCCGGCGGCGGCCGCCAGCTGAGCGTCGCTGCATTCCCGCCCGGTGATCAATACGGCCGCGGCGCTCACCTGGGACCGCCGGCGGCCGGCGGACGGCCCGCCCGGCGCCCGGGCAGCGCGTACACTCACCTCCTCGTCTCCTGTGGGACTCATCACCACGTCCAGGCCGGGGCTCAGACACGAGTCCATGGTGGCGGCGGCGCGGGCGGCGGTGCAGTGCGGTGCGGCGCGTGGTGGTCCGGTCGGCGCGGCGCACCACTAACGTCTGACGGAGCGGCCGGCGCGCCGCCGTGCTCGGCGCAGCACGGCGGCGGCGGGCGCGGATCCGGCCGCACCGCCGCACCGCCGCCGACGGACGGTCCATCGACCGACCGACGGCAGTGGCACCGACACACCGGAGCCCGCCGGCCGCAGGTCCGCACCGTAACCAGGCTCGACGGCTCTGCAACATTGCGTCCCAGCGGTCAGTCGATTACAATTGTATGTCGGCTTCAATCGTCGGCGTCTTGGAGGGAAATAACGAGGCACGTCGGTTCCGCTGGCCAGTGACGGCCACTGCGAACGGAACTATGCATCGGTTTGGGGTATGGAACAAGATTCCCGAGGAATGTTCTCAGCAATTTGATAAAACTCATCGAAGCAATGCAAATTTTGGGTGCCCTATTATCTCATTCCTCTAGCAAACTTTCGAGTACCATGGGCAGTGGCTGAAATGCAGCAATAGCTTGACAGAAATATTACCCAAATATTTTAGCACAAGCCGACGGCGGCATTCAATGGAGTTAGCTACGATCACTTAACAACTGTGGATTCATAAAAAAGAATCGATAGGAATCGGACAAATGCAGTCCAGACGCAGCACACTTGTAGCAGTGTACAAAACGAAATGAATGAAATGATACCGGGGGTCCCGGGACTTCAGATGCTGGGTGCACGGCAGAGAAGGAATGACCAACTCGGCCCCAGCCTACCAAAACTGGGAAGAGAATAGACGAAATAGCTAATACTTCACGCACTGAGTGGGGGCACGATAAAATACAAATAAGAATAATTCGTGGTGTGCACTGCGAACATGGCGCATAAATCGATGACTTTTGAGACCCACACACGTGCATAGACATTGTTCAAAAAGGAGTTGTATTCCAAAAACCAAGTTAGAAAGCAGCTTCGTAAGAAAAATGTAATTAGGACACAATAAACTTTTGAATGGACACAAAATGAATGCACAAAAAAGATGATCAAATGCATAGATTTCGTTCAACAGATGACGAACTTGTAATATACTGCAATTAGTACGAGCAAACAGTGGATAATCGAACGCTGATCCTTGCAGCAAAAACTCAACTTTATCTTGATATCACAGACACTGTTAAAACAAATCAGGGACAGCCAAACGCGATGAGATTCCCCAGTAATTGCATTTACGAAGCACATTGTACTCGTTGCAGCACAGCTTTGTTAAAAATTGTCCGCAAATGACGTTATTGAAAGCTCTATACAAGCGTACCGTCAATAAGCACACCGAGCGGCCGGTCGTGCCCGGCCGGTGGCCTGCCGTGCGCGGCGCTAATTTACCATTGTCGGCCGTGGCGGCGAGCGGTCGCGTCGGCGGGCCGGCTCGTGACGGCCCGTCACGCGGCGCCGTCCTCGCGCAGCAGCAGGAAGTTGATGGTGATGGGCAGGTGGATGTCGCGCGCGTGCTCGCCCACCTCGTCGGCCCACGACTCCATCTCGACGGGCCGCGGCACGACGCGGTCACCGTAGTAGTCGAGCGCCTGCAGCTGCGGCCGCTGGCGCACCACGCGCTCCACCACCACGTCCTGCACGTCCGAGCACTGCTCCAGGTTCAGGTAGCGCAGCTCGGGCAGACGCTCGGGGATCAGCCGGAAGCACTGGCCCGTGATGCGTACCAGTCCGATCAGGTCCATGACGCGCATGAAGCGCAGCCGCGTCACGATCCGCTCCAGGCCGGCGTCGGTGACGTCCCAGCACCAGCTGAGCGCCAGGAAGGTGAGCAGCGGACAGTTGGCCGTCAGAGCCTCCACCGTGCTGTCGTCCAGGTTCGAGCACTCGCTCAGGTCCAGGTGCAGCAGGTGCGGCATGTTCTGCCCGTCGAACAGGCGGCCCAGCGCCGCGGCGCTCAGCTGGTTCCCGCGCCGGATCTTGAGCCGCATCAGGTCGTGCAGCGAGCCGAGTGCCGGCAGGCTGGCGTCCGTCATGCCGTCGGCGAACGAGATGCACAGCTCCTGCAGGTTCCGGCAGCGGCCCAGCGCGCGGAACCCGGCGTCGGTGAGATTCTCTCCGTCGAGCACCAGGGAGAGGAGCCGGTCGCCGGCCTGGTCCACCAGCTCCTGGATGGCGGCGTCGGTGAGGTAGCCGATGCCGTCCACGTTGAGTTCCTCCAGGTGGCGGCAGCGGCGCGCCATCTGGACCAGCTCCGCGTCCTCCAGGCGCAGACAGTGCGACACGTTCAGCGCGCGCAGGTGCTCCAGACCAGTCAGCGCCGCCGTGCAGTCGGCGTCGTCAAACCGAGAGCCCTCGAAGTTGACACGCTCGAGAAGCGGGCAGTGTTTGACAAGCACCTCGAGCAGTAGTGAGTTGAGACCATCGCAGAATCTGGCCGTCAGAGAGCGCAGCTGTTTGCAGGTGTCGGCCACTTGGAACAGGATCTTATCCACCTGGCGGCGGGCCTCCAGCCGCAGCGATTTCAGCAGCGTGCTGAAGGAGAGGATGTTGACGACGGTGCTGGTCGGCACGAGGTTGTCGGCGTCAAAGGAGAGGTGCTGCCACAGGACGGGGTCGCGCCCCAGCTGGTACCAGTGCCGGCAGACGGGCAGCACGCTGGTGCACAGTTCCCGCGCCGTCAGGTGGGAGAAGACCAGCAGCTGCAGCTCCGGCGGCAGCCCCTCGAACGGGAACGGCTCCTGCGGCGGCGGCGGCGACTGCGCGCCGGACGGCACCATCACCTGCAGCTGCTTCACCAGCTGCTGCTTCTGCTCCTCAGTGGCGCCGTCCAGTTTCATCATCTCGACCGTGTGCCGGCAGAGCCGCTCCAGCTGCGGGTCGGCGGCCGCCGCGCCGCTCGGCCCCGCCACCGGACTGTCCTCGCCGCCTGTGCGGGTTACGCACACGGCGCACTGACAGCACGGGGGCGGCGCCGGAGCGCCGGCCGCGTCCGCGGTCCCCGGCACCTCGCCCTCCTCGGCGCGGCGCCGCTCCACGCTGACATCCTCTCCGACGCTGTGCTGGCCCAGACTGAGCACACTGGGGGTCGGCTGCTCGCCAACGCTCAGATGACTCCCGGAAGGCTGAGCACCACCACTGGCCAAAACCTGGCCCTCACTGAGCACCCTCACAGCTGGAGGGTGGTGGGAGTGGTCTGAGCCTGTGGCCACCAGGCCCGGTGAGCTGCTGCGCCTTAACGCTGCCCCTGCAGAAGCTGTCCTTCCTGCTGCAGATGGCTGTGGCTGAGCAGCATCAGTTGCAGGAGACTCAGGTGCTGCCTGAGCATTACTGGCAGGAGTCCCTGATGGCTCAGCCACATCTCTGCTGCTCATGGTGCCATTCTGGAAACAAGTTTATGAAAACATATGAAATAGGAGTACAGTTGGGCAAACTAGACCTTTGGAATCAAAATATGGAGGCATCAAAAGATTGATTCCTTTTGGGCATAAATGCAGACCATTTCTAACTTACCAATCACATAAAAATAAGAGAGTGTTTCAAGAAGGAGCATGCCTGATCTTGAACAGAAATGCTTGAACTATCTCCTAAGCAAAATAATATTGCTCTTATCATAACAATTTAAATTCTATAGGTAGTGAAAGGCAATCAAGGAATTGATTCACTTTTAACAGATAATCATAATATTGATTCCCCATCAGCTGGCTAATCATTATTTTGATTCACAGGTAATGTTAACAGATAGGCAACAATGACTTGCAAGAATACAGCATTTATCTTGCTATTATTCTCATTTAGTGGTATCCTCAGCACCACAACTGATACCTATAGCATTGTTGTACTTTACCTTCACTACATTTGATAACAACTCAAAATTTTTAAATGTCAAGAATACAAAAACTGAAGCAACAGGTAAAAACCATATAAGTAATATAAAAGCACTACAACAATGATAATTAGGGGTTTAAAAATTTCATTTTGCCATTTTACACAAATACTGATTGGTTAGTAAGTGATTCATGATACAGAAATAACATACAGTGTGATTTCCTCAAAACAGCTTTTACGTGATGGACAGTGGCTCTGTCTTTTTCCCATTCACAAGGCCAAGGGGACAATTTCTTAGCTTTGAGGTAACACTTTTTGCAAACCTACCACATTTTTCTACCTTTTAAAAGAAAAATCTCACCGTCATGGGCCTTTTTTCAACCGTAACGATTCATTTGAAGTCAAAAGTGTACCCAAATGAATCAAAAAATTGATTCCATGCCCATATTTGGTCATGGCTCCTCCCACCAGAATCAAATTATTGATGCCTCCATATTTTGATTCCAAAAGTCTAGTTTGCCCAACTGAGTAAAGTACAGACAGCATTTCAAATGACAACACAGTCACTAATATGGGTGTCAATTTCCGCCGAGTTGGGGGGTGCCCAGGGGCGGCAAGTCTGCAGCTGCCCTAGCGGCGACCTTGAATCCTTGACTGGTGCCATCTGTTACGGCTCCAAAGCCAAGCCGGCTGAACCGACGTGGAATTTGGAGTGCTTGGGCACCCCTATTTGGCAGAAATTGACACCCATGTTCACTAGTTTGTTTCCTAGACCTACAACATGAAAGAATAAGTGCCACCACAAAACACCTAACTCTTATACTTTACTTCATAAGCTCGCCATTTATTTATGTTTAGCTCTGTACCTAAAAATGCTTCAAAAGGGTCATACCTACGTGCCAGGAAACAAGATCAGATGAGCATGTCAATGTTGATGTTCAAAAAAAAATTATGACGACTAGGCAGTAGGCACATATACGGTCCGCAAACTCACCGATTAAATATCCGAAGGCTGTCAAGCTACCTTCTGGAGCGAGCTATACATGCTATCTTCATTGCCTAAGAAGGGCTCGACAGAATACCTAACTATTCCATATTTTTACTTCGTCGCTTTGCTCGTAAGATGAAGAGAAATATATTTTTTTGTTATGCGCCAATTTGGTCTCAAGCTAATTGTAGCTTTCTCTAGAAAAACTAAGTGATCAGTTTTTGTTACGTAATAAGCCAAAGAGCCAATGATCGCTCAGGCTTGCATTCTATTTTTAAATTTTTGGACATTGGTCTACAAAAAATGGAGAAATTTTGAATTTTCACACTCAATTTATGTAACATACCACTTAGAAATAAGATTTGAATGCAACCATGGACAGAACCAGAGTTGAAAAAATAAAAGTTTTATGACGTCATCAAAATAATGAATGCTTCTCCTCCTTTTCCCAAACTTGTCGAAAATAGCGGACGGAGCGGACCGTGGAGCGGACTGAGCGGACTCTCTCTGATTCCATGACGGTTTTTCGTCCAGCAGATTTTCGTCGGACATTTTTTCGTCCGCAGATTTTCGTCCGACTTTTTTTCGTCTCGCATTTTTTCGTCTGTACATTTTTTCGTCTGTGCATTTTTTCGTCTGTACATTTTTTCGTCTGTACATTTTTTCGTCCGCACATTTTTTCGTTCGTATATTTTTTCGTCTGTGCGTTTTTTCGTCCGGACATTTTTTCGTCCGGACATTTTTCGTCTACAATTTTAACGTAACCTTACCTAACCTATCCTAACCTAACCTAACCTAACCTAACCTAACCTAACCTAACCTTACCTAACCTTACCTACTGATGTTTGCCTACCGGGGGATAAGGAAAAAGTTACTTGCATGAATAGATTGCAAGCAATGGTAAGTCAAATATTTTTAGGTTAAGTGGTTATGCATCAGGCTTCAGGCCTTCGGCCTGAAGCCAGATACACAACCACTTAACCTAAAAATATTTGACTTACCATTGCCTGTAATCTCTCCTAAGGCATTGCCTTCGGCACTGCACTGCTTCGCCCCGAGTATTATTATGACGTCATTTGCCTCCACAGTTGAATAGCATTGTAGTATGTTTTCACTCAACCTTGGGCGAACAGACGTAAAATTTATTGAACGAAAAAATGTCCGGACGAAAATATGTACAGACGAAAAAATATACGAACGAAAAAATGTCCGGACGAAAAAATGTACAGACCAAAAAATGTACAGACGAAAAAATGCACAGACGAAAAAATGTACAGACGAAAAAATGCGAGACGAAAAAAAGTCGGACGAAAATCTGCGGACGAAAAACTGTCCGACGAAAAAATGTCAGACGAAATTTTGTCCGGACACGCTCTCTCTCGCCCTCCACGCTCTCACAGATAAAAAAGTGCCCGAGCGTGAAACGTTCGAAGTTTTGTGTGATTTTCGTGTAATTTTCGTAACTTTAGTGTGCACAGGTATGCTCTCAGCTTACGAAATCAATGGCGTGCATAGTTAACATCCTTGCACACTTGTTACCTCGCAGCTCATGCCTTTTCTAGCACTTACAAAACGTTGGCTTTATTGGTCAATTTCAATTTCTATACAATCAAATTATTATCCAAAATATGATTTTTTCCCATATCAATATTGATTTTCATAGATAGTTAGGAAGTAATGTTTTTCCGTTAGCTCAAGCTTATTTCAGTGACCCTTTTAAAATTTAATGGTAAATATGTGAAAATGAAGTGGCAAGTTTGTTCTCGTGCTGAAAGCTTCTGCTCTGAGCTTGGTTGATGCGGAACAATGTCGTGCTAAAAGCATATGACAGCAAAATAAAATATATAAGCTAGGATATGAATATCCTAGAGGAACAATCATATGCTCACTGCCTTTAGAGTTCTAAACTTAGCCTAAAATGAATGATTGTATTTTGAAGACATTCCTTCTTCAGTTCAAAATTTAAAGTTGCCTAGAATAAGATTAATATTGATTTTTAACCTGTTCATAAAACTTTTATTAAAAGTCTTTTAAAGGGACTATCCCACCTTCTAAAATGTTGTTAAGACCAGTTAAATTGTGCCGACTTTATAGATTGGATGACCAGGAACACGGTTCTGGCATTTATTTTTCATTAAACATCTTAGGCTTCCCATATTCCAAACACAAACTTTCAAATATGTGACGTCACAGCCCAAAATTACCTCCTTCCCCAGGCCACATTACTGCCATAAAGCTGAATTTTTTTACTCTGTAGGCACCACAACAAAGTTCAGACCAAGTTTTAAGCGATTTTTCAACGAACAAACCCATATAAATCAGAATGACTAAACGAGGTGACGTCACACTAACGGTCGCTCCATGTTGAAGATAGGGCCTTGCACAAGGCCCATTTTCAAATGAAGGGAACAAATTTCTTCAACACCAAGAGGCCGCGGGGGTTGCAACCTAGATAGATAGTGGTTTCTGAACCTCGCCACAAACTTGGCTATCTCAACTCAAACCCCATGTTAAAGGTGGGATAGTCCCTTTAATGCTATGTTATTGTGCCTTTTGGGCTTGATAACAATGAAAATGGAATACCGTAAGGTGGGGCTATTTGAGACAGTATTGAAAATTGTTATAAAATAAAAACCGTTTGAAATTTATGCCTAATTTTTGCTCAGGCGATTTACTACTCGATTCCACACCTTCCTGAGCAAAAATATCACATAAAAATCAAACGGTCTTCATTTTGTAGCGATTTCAAATACTGTCTCAAATAGCCCCACTGTCTCAAATAGCCCCACTTTACGGTACTTATTAGGTACTTGGTGCATACCTACTGCTGATAATGGATATCACAAAATGCTGGCAAAGCTTTTATGGAACCTGTGAATTTATTTTCCTTATTCTCTGGTCATCTGGCATCTTTTCCTGTTTCAGGCTTGCCATCATGGGTGACAACATTATAATGCAGCTAGATGCTGCTGCCAAAATCTTCTTGGTAAGTACTTCTTGATTTTTATGGCTTATCTTTAACTACTGTTTGTATGCCAATGTGAGAGATCCCCACATGTTGCAGTGATGCCTATTGACTTACATAGCTCAGATTATTCAAACCTAATAGGTAGGTTACCAGCTCCATGGTTTTCTTTTTGTTTTGGAGGAATCAAACACATTTTGGCTCTATTCATTATTAAACTGAACGACATCCTGTTAAGATGGTCCATAATAGATATCACATGCATTGGCAGAGATCAAGATGTGTAGTAAGTCCATGATTTTTCTTGATTGCTTGTGTAATTTATTGCATGTGTAGGAATAGCAGGCTATGCCCTGATATTTTGTTTATGATTCACACCAAGTCATTTGTTAGGTATTTTTATCAAGCTGAAGTTTTTAGTGCCTTTTCAAGTTTGGGCATCTTCGCCTTAGCTTCTGACAATTTTACTGTCACTAGGTCAGGTCACTGAGGTCATAGGAGACACAGAGTGATATTTCACGAAATTGTAAACATTGTGACATATAGGGTGGCTGACTGAATAATAATTTTCTAGATATCACTCTTGAATGTGAATGCTTGCCATTTTTCATCATCATTTGTAATTGTAATTTTCCATCATCATTTCAGCATGTCTGTCTCATGAGTCAAAATGATCTGAGATGATCTAGGAGCGCCCTGTGTGTGACTCAGTGTGTCATGCAGTCCGCTGCATATGTCCTGTGAATTCATGAGGCATCTAAACTCGAATCTCTCATTTATTTGTGTCAATAGCAAGCTTGGATAACGATGCCCCGACGACCGTGACGCAGGTGCTATTTCCGCGACTGAAGAATGCGTCCATCACGAGTACGGCTTAGAACTGCACCGTGTCGGCTGGCACGGTCCAGTAAAACAGAAACAAGTCCCTAATATAAAACGAAAACGTTGATATGGCTTTTGTTTTCTTGATTGAAAGAGAAAACTGGCTTTGCGTGCCTTGCATTAGTAGGTTTAAGCGTGAGGTCGAACCCCCTCCCCAGCTATCTGGCATTTGTTCTATAAAGACGCGCCCAGATCGGGCGATTGCTACCATCTGTACTTTGTGGGCGAGCTGACGAAAATGTCCACTATTTCAGTCCCCACCAACGAGCGTTTCCGCAGAGGAGCGACATCAGGCAGAGCTGTTCTTTCTCGAGTTTCGGAAGACTGCAAGTCCTTTTGCGTTATGTCGTGAAATTTTGGGTAAGTCCACTTTGGTTGCGTGAAGCTCGTAGATATTGTGTCAACTGTCACCTCTGACCTCTGTTATCAGTCATTTTTAAAAATAAGTCAGTCGGAACTAAGCACAAGCACGTCGCTCGGTCGTCATCGCGTCTCCCTAGGTGTATTAACTCTCACCCCTCTCCCGGTCCGCAGAGACCTGTCAGAACTCATACGTCCAGTTCGAGGCGGCCAACTTGCTGCGGGACGGACTGCTGCGCGAGTGGAAGCAGTTGCCGCCCGAGGCCACCACCGAGCTGAAAAACTACCTGCTCAACTACCTGGTGGCACACACGTCGGCGCCCGGCTTCCTGCGCGAGCGGCTCGTCCAGGTGGGTGGGAATGTCTGCGTGACGGGTGCACAGTGGCGGACGTGGTATACCATTCGTATGACAGCACTCTGTGTGGATATAAAAAGTTGATGACTCAATTATCCTTCTTTTTAAGTTTAAATGAGCATATGTTCGTTCAGTGTCGCCTATATATATGAAGGGTTCATAGCCCACTGGAAACCCACTTGCTGACAAAAGTGTACTATTGCGTCTAGTTAGATGTATTCCCCTTGTTCTGACCGCCAGACTGTGGCTATCCTGGTGAAACGCCGGAGTGTGGACGACGAGGGCGCCCAGCGATCAGAGCTGCTCTCCAACCTACAGCAGCTCATCCGCTCCCCAGACATCAACATGGTTTGTAAATGCGCCTCATGCCTTATCGAGCTATGATACCGTACACTCCCGTAATACGCATTATATCCTACCCGTAGGACTGATCGCATTTCGATAGGAACTCACAGAAGCCGTCCGTGGTGCGGTCAGTCGCTTTGTCATAGTTGTTACTTGTTTGTAGTGTTTATATGCATTTTATCTTAGCTAGGTGCTGTTTTCTTCGTCTTCCTCTGAATCTGTGGCGACGTTTTAAAGGGTGATGTTTTATGCTTGTGTACAAATGCTCAAAATATCTACACATTTGTTGACAAGCTTAAACAGTTGAATTAATTAACTGCTTTTAGGTGTTTCTTTTTAAACCCTAGCCTGTACTTTCATACATAGGTACACGTACAATGCACTGCACGTCACCTGAATATGCAATCGAATCCCTCCCTGTGGTATTGACCTAACCTCGTCACCCCACCTGACCTGACCTGACCTGGCACCGGTTGGCGTGTGCTTCAGCAACTGTTGGGCTGCAGCCTGATAGCGGCCCTCCTCCAGGAGCACGCCAACACACTCAAGTCGGCAGACGTGCTTCTCACGTGGGAACAGCACTTCATGGCCAAAAAGCAGTTCGAGGTAAATTGTCACAATCGTGACCCATTTGTACGTCACACACATAGGTCGAAATCATCTGCGGGGATTATCTGATGTTTTGGTAATATGCAGTTCTGTTACAAGTTTGTATGCAATTTGCATGTTCTTTACTATCATGGAAATATATGTTGCTTTTGATATCCAACTCATATTTACATAGCCCGCTTTGTTTAGCAGTGCAGTTTTTGTTCAAGTACTGTGGGTGGAAGAGTCGTTCACCCAGTCCGACCTCAGTGCTCGGCTGGGTCACTGACCCGTCCTTCTCCCCTTGCCCTGGCAGGTGTCTGACCTGCGGCGAATATTCGAGTTCTGTCTGAGCACGCTGGCAGAGGCGGAGAAGCTGCCGGCGCTGAACACGCCGCAGCAGATGACGTTAGTTGACCGGCTACTGCGCATCACTGAGAGCATCCTCTCCTGGAGCTTCACAAACTTCAATATCAATATCCTTTACATGCGAAGCGTTGGGAGGCAGTCTGTCGGATCAGTGTGAAGGCACCTTAATCGTTGTCTGGTTACACAATTTGCGTGTGGACAGAGTATTGTAACAAGTCGTGTTGCTCAATGCTCAGTATGTCCGTGTGCTCTTGTTCCCTGGTACGTGCGTTCACCCGTCGTCTCTCGGCTCTTTGTATGTCCGTCTCTCGTTTCGTGTGCCCTTCTCTCGTCTCGCTGTGTCTCCGTCCGCCCGTCGTGTCTCCGTTGTTGCCTTCCTTGACCGCTGTGCACAGTCGCAGCGTCTGATAGCCGTGTTCGAGTCTGAGCAGAACCCCTCGCTGCGGCCGGGCGTCAACTGGCGGCAGCTGATGCTCAATCCAGACGTGGTCAGCCTCTTCTTCAAGGTGAGTTTTGTGGTCAGACTGCTGGGTGTTGGCCATCCTTCAGCCACCCGGCTGATGATGAGACCATGTGACGGGTGGGTAAAGTGCTGAAGGACATTCTTGATTTGATTATTATTCGTTTTTTTTTTGTTTATTTATGAAAGCGATCTTTTTACCGTGATCATAATAATATCCGGTTAGATTAAAGCTGTGTACATTTTCTCGATATATTTGCTACTCTCTGTAGCCACCCGTAGTGTCTGTGACCCGGCACTATCTGACTACGATGTGTGTTCTCCTGTCCAGATGTACTGGAAGGTACACCAGGAGGACCAGTTGGCGCACACCTGTCTCAACTGCCTGAACCAGCTGGCGTCGCTGAACGGAACCGTCATCGGCTCACGGGAGCCGCGAATCACCTACGCATCGCACTTCGCACAGAACCTGCTCAACATCCTGGGCTTGTGAGTGGAACGAGGTGATGGCGGCGAGGAGACGGGCGTATGCGCGGGCTGCCTGCTAATTATGACGCTTGGTTTATTGTCATAATGGTTTTGCTTTAATGTTATGAGATTTGATTGCGTATGGCATAGGCAGCGTGCTGCCAGGGGGCAGTGCTTCGCTGTGTGTCTCCTGACTGACCCCCTGTGTCTCCTTTTCTAGTGATAGGTGACAGTCAGTGGATAAATACATGTATCTGTTGACCCCCTACTATGCTCCTCTCCATTCCCAGTGAGCAACTGTCGGACAACCAATGTCTAGGTGTCTTAAGTCTATCCATCCGTCTGTCCACCTGTCTATGGTTGTACAGAGCCCCGCCTCCCCGTTTTGGCCCTCTACCCTCAGCGAGCAGCTGCCGGACAGCCAGTGTCTGGGTGTGGCCGGCATCGTGCTGCGGTTCGTGCTGTTCTTCCCTACACCGATCCTGATTCACCTTCCGGAGGAGCTGGTCGGCAGTCTGCTGCAGGAGCTCACCAGGGTTACGTGTCGGTTCGCGCGCGCCGCCGCCAGGCAGGAGGAGGTGAGACGGCCGCGCCGCACATTTCCAGGGATGATACCTAGCGGCTGAGCGGCTGAAAACACGGGTTTCGGTTCATTTAACATTATTTTTGATGCATCAAACTTCATCGCTGCCGGCTTCATTGTCAACGTCATCGCTGTCAGCTGCGTTGTCCAATGTAATGTAACTTCATTTTGCCTAGCAGCTTTTTAGAATGAGAAGTTTCCGCATGAGCGCCCAACAAATTCAGGGTTGCGGTTTCAGCGCGTTCAGCGTGTCCAGCGTCTGTTGACATGCTTGCCTCCCCCTGGCACCCCTCTTCCATGCGCACAGCTGCACGTGGATGACCAGATGTACCGGGAAGCGTTCGGGAAGCTCCTCGAGGCGTGGATGATGCTGCTGCAGGAGGGTGACAGCTTCCCCTCGGACCTGTACCACATGTCCGCCACGCAGATCTTCGAGACCTACCTGCAGGTGCATCTGGCGGCGCCGGACGGAGCGCGTGGCCAGGTGAGAACCGGACGGCGGACGGGATCTGACGTCATAATTGCGCGGTGCTCATGGAGTGCCGAGCAACCCGGTGCACTGGGTGTAGGACACGTGACCTGTGAGACACGTGACCTTGCATATTTGTCACACCGCGATGTGAGAAACGTGATTGAATGTTTGGGTTTTGTATGAGAGTTTTTAGATTTATGGTTTTCTAGATTAGGTCTGGTGGTATGTTTCGCATGATTTTTTTTTTGCGAGGTAAGTGCAGAAGTGGTCGGGCTTTCCAGCTGGCACGTTAAAGAATGCCGTCTTATTCGCGCACTATGACCTCGCAGTCGAAGTGCCACTTCACCCACTGATTGTCGTGTCTCCGCTGACAGGTGTCTGACTCGTGTGACGACATTGACGAGACGGAGGAGAGTGACCGGGTGGCCTACCGAGACCAGCTGGCCGCCATCGGCGCGTTCGGCAGGAAGGTGAGCTCACAGCACAGGGTGTGGGGCGGCGGGCGCATACGAGTAGATGGGAGCGGTAGGGGGTGGGTAAGTGTTTCCACAACCTATTTGGTCATGGTTGCACTTCATTAAAAGAAAAACTACCTACTCGATCGGATTTGGATAAAAGAATCAGCTCCTTACTATATCATATGTTTCCCTGCCGGGGGTTAGATCTCGGAACGATCAGTGACCTGTCTGTTGCAGATCCCGGAACGGTCGGTGCCGCTGGTGACGGGCCTGCTGGAGGCGCAGACGGAGCGGCTGCAGCACCACCTCCAGCGGGTCTACCAGCAGGCCTCCCCGCTGGCCGACCGACACCAGCTGATCGCGCTCCACGAGGACCTCCACTGGACACTCATGATCGCAGGTATGACTCGCGCAGACATACGCACAGACAGGACAAGCACCAGGCGCGCCTGGGTTTCGGTGGGGGTGCGTTTCACGCGTAACGCTATGAGAAACGTTTTTCGTAAATATCTAGAGCATCGTTGCTTCGATTGCCTTTGTTTTTGGATATGTTACTAGGGTTACCCGCGTGCTCCGCAACGCGAAGAAGGGTTATTTTTGACCCGTGGGTATTGGGTTGGTCTGTGTCGATTTGGCTGGTATCCATTTCGTTCGATTGCTTTTTGACGGCCAAGCATTTTGTAAGAAAACATGAAGATACATCGCATCGAGGTGCCCGTGTCGTATTATCATGCGTTCTACTTAAGAATGATTCGAAAACTGGCATGAAGTCTTTTGAGGGCCATCGATGAATTTCGCTAAAAATGACAATGTAATGGTTTGGAACATTTACATTTTTAAGAATACTGTTGCTCATCATGCAAAAATGAAGAGTGAATATTGAACAGAATTGAATGCTCTATCCAATGGTACCATATTCATTTGCCAAAGGTATCAGGTTATGCAGCAAACCCCGTGTGATTAATAAAGTGGCACAAAATTGACAAACATCATTTTCTCCTGTGATTTGCACCACCTTGATTTGGATCAATCAGCTTTTCACAATTTTTATATGAGAGGCGGTACCTTTCTCTTGCAAATAGGCGTTGATTCAACTCGCTCCATTTAATGGTCGCATAAAAATAAAATTAATTCCAAAATCCCTCAAAAACCGCAATTTTTCAAATAAAAGTGCCCTCTCCGGTGCACGTGGCGCGTGCTATCCTCTGCATTGCACACCATTCAATAGCCCGTTCAATTCTGTACACGATGCTGTTTTCCCCGTGCCGGTCGGACCCCTGGTCACCAAGATATTGCACGGGAACTGGACCCGTGTCGGCCAAAATTAGCCGTTTTCGCCCGATTTCGCACGCCAATTTATACATGTAAAGTCTATGACGCGAATTTGCACTTTTTGGGCACGCGCCACGCACTCCCTATCGACCCGATCGAGCCCAGACCCCTCAAAGGCACGTCGCGCATCCTTGATCTATAAGTTGTGCAAATTTCAGGGCGCTAGGTGCAATGGTCTGGCCTGTAGTCCACGCAAAGCACCACCAAGTCGGGACCTCGGTAACGGACAGACGCACCCTCCTCAAATAGTAATATAGATGAAGGACGTTAACCTCGTCATCACAGAGCGGTTACCGTTATTCTGCAATCCACATATACTGAGCAATTTAGACAAACATATTGCAAAATCAAAATTTCAAACGAATAGAACTCAATAGCGGATTGTCGTACGACTGTAATGTTTGCAGTTTTAGACTGACGAAGTCAAGGAAAACATTTCCTAGCAAGCCTTTTTTTCAAATTTTGTACTACGTTTTGCATGATACAATTTTTATCTTGCAGTGCATTGCATGAAAGCCATGGCAACAATTTCAAAAATGTGGCTGCTAGGAATCATAAAGACATCGATTCTCTACACAATCCTGTAGAGTGAATCATCATTGCATGCATCACTATGCAGTTCTATTCATTTGAAAGTCATTGCACAGCTAGTTCATAAAATCGCCGAGAGATGTCACTGGCTGTATGGCCCGCGCGTTTCGTCGGCCCCCTCGGCCCGTCACTCAGCGGCGTTTGTTGACACAGTGTCACACCCATTAGTTACGGCGCTCCGCTGGCGTTCGGCCGCCGTCGAGGTGCTCTGAACCCTCCCTGCTAAATTTCGCCGTGACCAGACGGGTCGGAGACTCATCCCACGATCTATCCATGAGCGGCGCCCCGAGCCAGGCGTCTCCTATCGCGCGCCTCTCACTCTTGATCGGGAGTACGCCGGGAAGAGCTTGTGAGAAACTATCAATTTTGAAAGATGTCACAAGTTTGTGTGAGTGGTATTACGAACAGCGAACAGGTATATTTTGACAATAGGTATTTGACCTGACCTGGGCAGTCCGTAGCCCGTAGGTATTTGACCTGACCTGGGCAGTCCGTACTGAACATAAAGAATGAAAATAACCAGCAATGCCTACAAATTCCATGGAGACATAGACCCTGAGTGACGTGAGACCAAATATCAGTTCGACTGTTATGTCAAGACCCTCGCCCTGGCAGGGTATTTTTCATACCCCTCCCCCGGCGTTTCGAAACTAAGCGTCGTAGCTCGCTTCGCAACAAAGAGCAGTCGATTGCTCTCAACGAGTACCTACTCGCGATTGGTGGTATATTTTTATATTCTTTTAGCCTAATTTAATATTTGACCAAGTTATGGCAGGTCAAAGGACAAATTTCGGGGAAAGCTGCAATTATCCAAATTACTTAGCCAATATTGGCGAATCTATATGAAAGATAGCGACATGAAACCTTCATGACCGTGTTTCTCAACGAATTAGCAACAAAATGATGTATAATAATTGATTGAATTTCAGTCCTAGGCAAAAACTGCATAACAGCAATTAGGAGCATCGTAGTCCTCTCGTAATTTCACCTCGTAGCATATACATATGTGTTGACTAAAGTCAAGTCAAGTCAAGTCGAATGGTCATTAAGGTCAAAGATTGACCTCGGATCACATAACCTTAACCCTCGCATGTGTGCGGCGCTTGCGGTGTTGATCACGAATATCGTTGCGGTGTTGATCACGAATATCGTGTTAGTTTTGATCACAGATGATGTCTTTAAGCATTTAGACCAGGTCGGGTCAGGTCAGGTCAGGTCAACCAGTAGGGGTCGTGACGGGTATTCAACCGCCTCTGGCAGCTTCATAACATGTTACGAAGGCACCAAAACTACTTCGTAAATGTTAAAATGGTTGCTAAATTCCAATTCAGCTCCAAAAACTAGCCTAGAAACATGTAAAACTCGAAAAATTGAGTCGAGGTCACCAAAGGTCAATGACCTGACCTGACCTTCAGGTGACCTTGACACCCACCCTAATGTATGGGAGCAACATCAAATCACATGTTTGAACGTTTGAAACCACGAAAAGCTTGCAAACGGGCGGCTAATGCGAGCCGACATACGCCGAATCGAGATTCCAGCCAAACATGGTCTCGGAAAAGAGGTCACAGGTCAAAGGTCATTTGGGCAGGGTCATGAAATTTTCAGGGTAGGTGTAAAATTGATCAATGCTAGGGTACTGAAAGTTTCGTTGCGATCAGCCGCTTTTTACGCGAGTTATTCGCGAAAAACCTTAGGGGGGGGGGATTGCATCAACCCCCCTTTGTTTGTTTTGTTGGGTTAGGCCCTTTCGGTCGACAAGACCATTGCAGAGCCGGAAGGATGATAGGATTTAGGGGGAGACATTGGTCTGGGCAGGCACCCTAGTGAGTCGCCGGGGCTGAGCCCGTCCAGAGGACAGGCCACCCAGCCCCAAGGCACTCACTGCACCCGGCTACGGGGTGCGCTCCCTCGGGAGCAGCGGTGCCGCTCCAAGGGAGCAGCCCGCATGAGATAAAGTTGCCTGTCCAGCCCGGAAGGGGGTTGCGGCGTGGAGGAGGGATTTCTGTATCCTGAGGATAGAAGCACGGATAGGTGAACCCCCCTTGTGCCGGCGAGGGTTAAGTCCGGATGAACTTATAAGATGCTGAGACATACAAGTTGTAGCTACCAATGGCCTTATTACATCGTGCACTGCAACTTTCAAAGGACTCGGGCATCTACTGTAGCTCTGAAGCGGTGACAAAATTTCAAAAAATTGTTTTATAAAGCATATTCTTCTGTGCCTTCTCTCATGCAATAACCCGAGTTTCGAGCACGTAGGATATACCTGAACTGGGTGACCTTAACTTCTGAGACCGGGGTTCCACAATTTCACACGCGATTAGAAATTAATGTATGATAAGCTATGCCAAGTTTTGCGGCGCTTTTACGGGCAAAAATTGCCAGTTTGACCAAAAAACGCCCCACTTCCCCAAGTGAGGACTAATGATGCTAACACTATGAATGTAACTGAAGCTGCTTTCCTGTACCTCATTCTGTTAGCCTTTTCATTATTCCGGTCTTTCCCTATCCGTGTGTGTCGGCGCGGGTTCGGCCCAATGTGGTTCGACTGAGAGCATGACATCTGGTCCTTTCCGCCCGGCCTGACCGGCGCGGCGGACCCGTGCCACTCCTCTCCGAACTCGCGGGGCGCGGATGGGGAGGGGCGGCCCGGCAGTCCAACCCCTCTGCGCTAACAGATGGATGGACAGGGGAAATGTGATACTTGTCCTATGACAACAAACCGGCGTTCAGCGCTAGGGCCATCTACTGGTTTAGAAACGTATCTCTATGTCGGCAAGATCCTCGCCAGGTGGTGTAAAGGTCGCGTGAAACGCACCCTTAACCCTATTCCTGGCGGGGGGGGGGGGGCCTCAGGAGCCCCCCCCCCTGAGGTTTTTTGGTTATTTCTCCCAAACGCGTTGAGCTAGGAAGCTCAAATTTTCTGACTTTTCCTAAAAGGCTTCTACGCAACATGTCTGAAAATTTTGAGTTGATCTGACCTCAGGTCAGGTCACCAGAGACGGTTTGGTGACCCTACCTCAGAAAAGTTTGCAATCACGCCAGAGCTAGAGTTTTTGACCGATCAATTTCTTCTCTTCAGGTTTTAGTTAGGGTACCAGTATGTGCAATTTGTATATCTCGGAATTTTGATATCGGTGACCTAAGGTCAGGTCAGTTTCGCGACCTCCCCATTATAAGTCAATGGGGGAAAAATCAACTCCCTGTTTTTACCACTAAAACGGCTCGGAATGGCCCCATATAACATACATGACTTCATATACGATCAACCTTCACTACCTTGAGGTCTGTTTTGCTGTTGGGCAGCTGTGAGGTCATGTGACGTCATCAAAGGTCACCAAAGGTTTTTGGCCAATAACTCCGTACAGGAACAAGATACAGACGCGTGGATGGTCTCATTGTGTTCAGCTCGTCAAGACGCATCGAATGATATACATGATGACCTCGAGGTCACGTGACCTGAGGTCAACCTTTGACCTTGACCTTTCGAGGTCAACATATATATCATTCGATGCGGATTGACGAGAGGATCACGATGCTGCCCTTAGTTTGTTCCTATCTTGACTAATTCGAAAGTTATTCGAGAAAAACTCTCTCCATATCCAGCGCCGCCATTTTGACTTTTTCGACCCCTGTGACGTCATCTTTGACCTGACCTGAAAATGACCTTGGTTAAAATTGTAGATCTTGACCGTGCGTATCCGATGCCGTTTACCGCTTGTCGCTATCTTGCTTCGTTCTCGAGATCTCAGGGGGGGGGCCGAATCGCCCCCCCCCCCCCGCCAGTTTCTTGTCCCGGCGGAGCCCGCCAGGAATAGGGTTAAGTTGGTATGTACCTACATACGCCATACAAGTATACAAGACGCCAATTTTTCCTTTCTGGGATTGGTTTTTCATGAAGAGTCGTAATAAACGAAGAGTCGATGTTAGGGCAGTGGTAAATATTACGGCAGCATCCCAGCAGCTCCTGTCTGCTGTTGCACTTTGTACCTTTATGTCCCCTCCCGTTAACGGTTGTCGCCCCGTTACGCTCCCAGGTCACGTGTTGGCGCTGGACCTGCGCAGTGAGACGTCTCTCATCTCGCCGCGGCTGAACCAGTACTCGGCGGCGGCCGGCGGCAGCGACCCGGCGCGCCGCGCGGCGGTGGTGGCCGCCAGCGGCGCGGCACTGCGAGCGGCCGGCACCGACGCGCCGCCGCCCAGCGCCGAGCAGGCCGACTCCGTGGACCCCATCGTCAGGTGAGCGCGCTCTGTGGGTGTCTGCGGGAGGGTGACCAGTGGCAGGGTGGTGTATTGTGGTGTGGGATTATGGTGGTCATTTCTGTCGGGTTCTCATAGACGAAATTTGCTTTGGTGGTGAATTACGACTCCGTTCCGTTTCCCTTTGGCTGGTTTGCTGCAGTATGCGGGTCACTGTGCTGTAACGATCCCTGTAACTCGGTCCCGCCCACAGGCTGGTGTGCTGCGGCGTGCGTATCCTGCGGATGCTCGAGACGGCCGCCCAGTCGCGTCTCAGCGACGCCATCAGCCCGGAGGTCACGTGTACCACGCTGTGGTTTATGCAGCGCGTCACACTCACCTACCTGATGCCCAACGAAAACTACTACACCGTGGTGAGAATATATACGATCATCCATGCATATATTGATTTATTTCACTCTGGAATATTAATTTGTCGTCGATAAATTATATATTGTAGCTGGGGCAATATTGGACAATGTTAGCTGCCTTTTTGTGTTGTCATGACTGTCGTATGACTGACGCCCGTGTGAATGAGTCCCGTATGACGAACCCTCCTTCACCTATTTTCAGCTCTCGGACAGTCTTCTGAGCGCGTTCGGCATCGACACCGACTCGAGCCGCTGGCTGGTCGGGTTCATCCTCTCGGCGGTGCGCCAGATGCTGACAACCATGGCCGCCGAGCCGGACGTGGTGTCAGAGACTGTACAGCTGCTGGACACCCTCTGCGAGTCCAAAGAGCGGTGAGTAGACGTGGTGTGGCGTCTGAGACTGTACAGCTGCTGGACACGCTCTGCGAGTTTAAAGAGCAGTGAGTACCTACCCAGCGTCTGTCCACTGACCTTACCGTGCCGTATGGTGACATTCTGCGACCTGTCACTGTCTGGCCCTGTCGCGTTGTCTCGAGGGCCGTTCGATGACTCAATGTTTCCTGTGTGACCCCCTGAGACTTGTCTGACAATTTGACCGCCTCACACTAGGGTCCGAGTCACGGTGCTCCAGTGTTTTTGTGACCTATCTGACCCCGTTCACCGTTTTCGCAGTGGCCGCGTGGTGATCCGGTGTGAGCAGCTGGGCGCTCTAGTCAGCCTGGTGTCCGGGGACCTCCAGCTGCCCTCCGCCGCCCGCCGCGGCCTGCTCAAGGCGCTCGTCAGCGTGGCGTCCACGGCGCCGGAGCCGGCCCTCACTGCCGACTACCTGACCAGGTGCGAACGGATCGACCGAACAAATGGATACTAGTTAATGTTGCATGTATGTAACGACCAGTGTCGGACAACGTAGCGTGAAACTGACAACGCGTCTGTCTGATTGTTGCAAGGGTTTCCCGTGCTTTGTAAGTCGCACTACTCAATTCGTATTCTACCCCGCCTTGAAGTGACGACGAATATTTATATAACCTTTGATTACATTTCTCCTTCGAGGATCCCTCGCTGTCAAACTGTTTCCGTGGTAACGGACACAGTTTCAGTCAAGGCCCTAAAGTTTCAGTTGTCAACTGAGGCGGTTTTCGCGGTTTTCACACCTCGTTCTTCCGTTCTTCTGTCTGCTCCAGGCTGCTGGCGCCGCTGCGCGCTTCCTTCGTGTCGGTGCTGTCTGCGCCAGACTTCCGTCAGCTCTACCAGGAGGACGGCGTGCGACTCAAGGTCCTCGGACTCATCGAGGCCTTCATCGGTCAGTCAGAGGAATGGAGCCGGCGGGGGAGAAGGGATGCAGGGGAAACGTACCGGGGACGGGCCTCTGAAAAAGCGGTACACCAGTCACTCTGAGTCGGCGTGGTGCGATCGGTTTCAAAGGCTTCCTTTTTTAGTAGGGAGGGGATCGCTTGGTTAAACCGCCCGTGTTTTGACAACTTTGTCTGCTCCTCCCCAGGTGTGTCCCAGGGGGCCCAGGTGCAGAACTCTCAGCACGTGTTCCCCGTGCTGTCCGAGACACTATCCGACACACTGCAGCTGATGGATATCTACAAAAACTACCGACAGATCTTCGAGCTCATCATGCAGCTGTACGCAGAGACCGCCAAGCGGATGCTGTGCTTCCTGAAGACGGTGAGAGGTGGTCGCGGGGCCGAGCGGCAATGTAGGCAGTGGGGTGTTCGGGTGAGGTGGCTGATGTGACAGTCGCTGGTTATATGCTGGATGAGTTGGGGTTTCAGATTGTTTGAGACTTGTGATTGATACTAGACAGGGTTGTTTTTCCTATGCTTGTGCTAACCGCAAATTTGTTACAACAACCGACATAAAGGAGTTCGTTAAATTTGATATTGACTACAGGGTGTCCCAAAAGTCTTGCAACATCCGTTTTCTGGATTGTTTACGTATTTACCGCTGATATAAATGCCATAACGGTGGTCTTTCTGTTGCCATGGGTAGAAGGCACTGTTACACACCCCGACCATTGGCGGATGCCGCCTCGGGGCGTGGCTGACCTTGACTGCGGCGACCGCTGGCCGACCCTGGGTCAGTCGCAGACATGAAGGTCGCCGGGCGGGTCTCGCGGCGAGAAGCTGTGCGCTCGCGCGCCATTGGATTACTGGAGGCAGGCGTGGCTCAGCGGGATGTCGCAGAACGGTTCGGAGTCAACCGGACTACTCTCTTTCGATGGTGGCGACGCCATTGCGAGGGTAAATCCCTGGCCGACATGGAGCGCTCCGGCCGACCAAGTACCATGTCCAAAGTCGCCAAGATCGTTTGCTCCAAAGCTGCAGGGAAAAGAGGACAGAGCGTGAGGAAATTAGCGATAAGGCTAACAAGAAAAGGTTATCCGATGTCCAAGTCAAGTGTACACCGGTTCATGACGCAAACAAAGCAATTTAGGCCATACAAGAGGCAAAAACAGCCAAAATTGAGCGAAAAACAGAAACTTGCAAGATTAGCGTTTTGTAAGAGAGTAGAAAAATGGAGTTTTGAAGAATTTAAGCATGTCATCTGGTCCGATGAGTCTGTATTCGAACTCCAGCAGAAGCCAAACCGGCAAAATGATCGAGTCTGGGCGAGGTCTGGCGATCAGGTGCCACGCGTGGAAACCGTCAAACAGCCCGCCAAGCTTATGGTATGGGGTGGAATGACCGCGCAGGGTCTTACTGAGCTCCACGTGGTGCCCCCAAAGCAGACGGTAAACACCGCGTACTACGTGACAGAAATCCTGGAGGGCTCACTTTTGCCAGCGGTCGAGCGTACAAGCAAAACTGGCGGCATTACAGAGAGGAAACTCATCGACCCAATGTCGCGGGCAATTTTTATGCAAGATGGTGCGCCAGCGCACAATGCCAAACGAAGCCAGGAATGGTGCGACGAGCATCTACCGGGGTTTTGGGCCAAAGGTGAATGGCCTGGAAACTCGCCAGACTTAAACCCAATCGAAAATCTGTGGGCGATTTTGAAGGAGAGCCTCAACCAGCAGGAGCCCTCCACAAGCCTCAGCCAGCTCGAGCGACGCCTGAAGAAGGCCTGGAGAGAAATCTCGACGGACACGCTGCGTAGCTTGGTCGCCAGCATGCCGTCACGCATCCAGAAGTGTGTCCGACGACGCGGTGATTATGTCGGCTGCTGAATACAAAAGTACATACAAAAGAACGTGTCTCAAACCAGACGACAGCGATGTTGCAAAACTTTTGGGACACCCTGTACAACTAACACCAATGAACGTCACTGTGGCTAAGTACGTCAAGATATTAAAAGAAAACAAAATCATTAACTGAAACAGCTCGAACACGCTCCTCCCATGACCGCGTCCGTCCACTGATTTCTTCCTCTATCCCCTCAGACGGAGAGCCGCGCCTTCTACGACTGCTGTCTGAAGATGATCGCCACGTACGCGCGCCACCAGAGCAGTCTGCGCGCCGCAACCTCCGACTCGTCGGCCGAGGAAGACAGCTACTCGGACCTCCTGCTGCTCATGGAGCTGCTCACCAACATGCTGACCAAGGACATCATCGACCTGGGCGGGCACGACGGTACGCCGACGGCCGACCGTTAGCGCGTCTGTTTTCCCTAGTTTTATGCTTCTTTTAGTAGGTATCTGCACTGTCCTCGTTGGGTAGTCCACTTCTAAAGTATTGTCTTTATTTTCTTTATGACCTATTCTCAACCATACATTGTCCTTAAAGGTGCATCGTCAGTAATCGAATATGCTTCCCGTTTGCAGGCGGCAGTGACGGCGAGGACGTGGCTGCTGCAGACGTCTGTCTGTACGGCCTCAACACCATAATGCCGCTGATGAGCGCCGAGCTACTACGCTTCCCGGCGCTCTGCAGCCGATACTTCAAACTCATCACCTTCCTCTGCGAGATCACACCGACCAGGGTAAGGCAGACCTGCCCGCGGGATTATATTGACCACGGTAAGGGTAACACGGAAGACCTATTCCTCACCCTGACGTCCGGGGCAAGACCTTGCGTTGTAGCATCACTTCGACCAGGGTAAAACCTTCCTTTGTGAGATCACCCTGAGACTCGGTATTTTCAGTTTGTACATCCACTGTCATGGTTGTGAGATGTAACGTTGTGGTATTTTCCTAAGATACTGGAGCTGCCGGAGAGCCTGCTGGACAACCTACTGAGCTCGGTGCGGCTCGGTCTGACCGAGTACGGCCCGGAGGCCAGCGCGCTGGCGCTCGACTTCCTGCACCAGCTTACCAGCCACGTGGTGCTGCACCAGCTGCCACCCGACCACCGGGTGCCCCAGGCGCTGCGGCCCTTCGTCAAACACCTGCTCGACCTGATCCTCTCGAACGGCGTCAACTCTGAGGTGCTGCAGGGCTCCAGCGGCGCGCTATTCGCGCTCATCTGCTGCTTCCAGGTGAGCCTTGGCTCCGTTTGTCTCCAGACAAGCTCAGATCAATGTTTATTTCTGTGTACACTGTACATTCACGTGTAAGTCTTACTGTTTTGCTTGAACCTGCTCTTGCTTCTTGCCGCCGATCAAATGACACCCCTTCGCCCAGCTGGATTTTATAAATGCACGTTATTTGAGACGCGGAACGCGCAGTCTGGAGAGTGACTCATGTTTTTCGTTTCCAGGACGAGTACAGCCAATTGGCGATGGCGCTGATCAACAGCCAGGGAGAGGGCGAGCGCAGCCAGCGGCTGGCCAAGGCGTTCACGGGCCTGACCCAGTCGGTGGACCGCAGTCTGGACCGCGCCAACCGGCTCAAGTTCCGCGACGCCTTCAAGGAGTTTCTCGTCGAGATCCGCGGCTTCATGATGGTGAAGTAGTCGGCTGTGGCGGCGGCCCGGCCGGCGCGGGGTTAGAGCTGCGCGCCACCGCTGCTCTGTATCGTGTGCTTATGACGGAGGGACTATGTGTGATCAGCTCTCAGGACGGGGTCGTCGCGAGGAGCGGACCGGGCTGTGCGTGTGACGCTATGGAGTGGCCGCTCTGCCGACCGGGGTGTCGGCGCTGACGTGGGACGCGTCGTGATGGTTGGACGCCATTCGCAGCTTCACTGGTCGGCTAAACTGTCTCCGTCCTGACTGGTCGGAGAGACTCCCTACGCTTGTCTGTGGTCCGCGCAGAATCGGGTGCCGCCGAGTGTTGATATCGCTTCTCGTCATTATTTTGTGTTGGTGGATCTCGAGCTGATGCCACCGGTCGTGTTTCCTTCCATCTGCGATCTTGGCATTTCATCCGCAGATCATCTCATCTCATCTATTCTAGGTCTGATTTTTTTTTTGCATCGCCATCCCTTATTTAATAGTATGGATGAGCTCGCCTGGCGACTGATGAATTGACGATTTGGTTATCGAGCTTGTTCAAAACCCCGCTCCGAGTAGCCGATGATCTGGACGACGGCTATGAGTTTTCTCCAGAGACTCTTGAGTGTTCCAACCTGCCTGTGAATCCGCCGAATTGAGAGAGAGAGAGAGAGAGAGGAATGCATTTCAGCCATGTTGACTCGCCGTCTCCGTGTCTGACGGATGGCACAGAAGTGGCGTTTGCTGGCTTAGTCTTGATGGGTACTTTGCGCACGGTTGCTGCGCAGTGTTCTGACATGCCATATAATGTACATAATTGAGTTGATGTTTACAAGATGGTTTCATAAAATTATGTATTAAACAAAAGCCTTCTTTCAAAAGTGAAACACGTTGTATCTTAGCCTTTACAAGAGCAGCAGCAATGGCACATCTGGTCACAGCGCACACAATACACGTGAATATCACAATAATACACGTTCCACAGCACACATCGCTTCACGTTAGCGGACCAACACATTTTGTGCCTTCGGGTCCAATCGGCGTGTCTGATGGGTGACGATTTGCCTCTGACGGAGACCAGTATCCCGCTCGCCGGCGTTCACCGTTTGGCCGGCTCGGCTGACGGCGGCGCCCGCTCGTGCTCGTGCAGCCACACCTTGAGCGGGTTCTTGCGGCCGCGGCAGTAGTTGCCCAGCGCCCCGCCGGCCGTCACCACGCGGTGGCACGGCACCACCAGTCCGAAGCTGTTGTGGCCCATCGCGTAGCCGACGTGCCGGCTGGCTTCTGTAACGCGGCGCTCTGTCAGCAGCTCGTGATCCAGGGAACGGGTGTCGGGTGCAGGCTCCAAGGTTTCATTTAACCCGAAAGGCGCCGCGCCCCTGCCCCCGTCCGGCACTGGAGAGTCCCGACTAATTCCTCCTCAAATTACAATCCCCTGGGACTAGTTCAACGCGACCCGGTCGCGGAGATGTAATGCGAAGTCTACAGTTAATGCGCACGTAGCCTGGTGGCTAGGTCGATTATGATAAACTTTGGTATAGCTTCTTAGAATGGAGTTATAGTCAGTTCACAATCCATCAAATTATGTTGGACTGTGTAGGTACTTCAATGGGCGTGAATGTGACCGATTTACCTTGATACCCTCTTGAACTTATCAAGCTTTACTAGTATCATAGATACTAGACTTTCTTTCAAAATTAAAACATGTGGTCCGTACTTACTTGGATTTCCACACAGCGCCGCCAGTTGACCATAGGAGATGGTTTCACCGGGACCAACTTCATCCTTCAATTTTTCCCATATTGGTATACACGACACCGCTACGGAAAGTGAAAATATTTTTATTAGTGTTGATCATACCTTTTTTCTGCTACTAATGCTTTTCAATATTCTGCTCCTGAACATCGAGAACACCTCTACAGTTTGACCATTCCTTAGATTAACCGATCTACCAGGTTGGCAATCCCCTCTCGAGACAACGTGGATTCCTGAAAGACTTCATTTTGGAAGGAGGAAACGAGGCCCTTTACCTTAAGTGACACTAACAACACGACACGGTAAGCCATGGAACTTTATTACCTTTAACTTGACCATAGCAAAGCTTCGGCGCCGGCGTCCGTTGGTGGGGGTTCCTGAAGAACGACCTCAGCCACTGTGCGGCCTCCTCGATGTGCTGGCAGTCCGGTCCGCTGTGGCTGGTCACGTCTCCCCAGACTTCCCTGCAATCCAGAACATACTTATTCGGGGGAACCTGCCAATTACACATAATACCGGACCCATCCCTGGCCAAACAGATCAAATGGCCTTCCCAGAAGTGACCAGTGACCAGCAGCAAGAATGTTGTCAACACTTACAAGGTACACAATGCCTTATCTATGTCGGCCAAGGGCATTGGGCGGCATATAAATAAAATGACCGCTTTGACGGCATTGAATTAATAAAAATACAGCCGTACTTTAGTTCTGGTCATTATCCTCGCATATTGTATCACATATCCTAGAGTTTAGTTCGGTACCATCATCACGCTAAGCATTAAAATCTCTAACAAACACAATTCAATTCGTGGACTACATTAGCACTAGGATAGATAAGTAGTCAAAACAATCCCTCAAAAATAAAGTGTGATTTGGTATAAAAACCAGACCTGCAAGTAGAATTACCTCGCCTTTAACTCATCACAGGGGTCTCCCATCTCCCAAGAAATACTGTGCAGCCCAGCTTTACAAGCAGCTATTTTTATATCACATATTGGAGACACAAAGGTTGCCAGACTTGTATCTTTGTGCTGAGATGTTGCCAACCAAGCATGCTTGTCCCATTTTGTGGCAGAGTTGGAGAACTTTTTTGGCTTGGCTCCCATAATGTCTTGAGCATTGAATGTTGCGTTTACAACTGAAATATAAACATTATATCAGGGTTCACCCTTGTTCAACCTGACTCATCATCATCACACTGTTCAAGCTGGCAATGAATGAAAATTTCTGACTGTACAGCTTTTACTTGGTAAGCTAGATTTGGAATTACATTATACCTATTGCCCACTGCCCAGCTCTGTCATAGGTTCACGCAGTTCAGCAAAAGGGAACTATGTGGCTTAACACGAAGGATTTTGATTTGATTTCAACAAAACTAAGGAAGTAGGTACTTGGGCAGCACCTTTCTTGGTCCCCTGTTACCTGAAGTAATTATGAATTACATCTTCTGGAGTATGCAGTGGCCAAGGGACCTGCCATATTGATTTTGATATATAGTCTAGCATTACTGGCAACAAGCAGTAAATGAAAAATATGGCTTCCTAACCACTGTTCTTTGGATAACTTAGGTACGAAATCTGACAAAGCTAAAGCTGCTGTGTATATAATTCACAGTTTAAGTTATTACAATCACAGGATGCTTTCAGAGAGTGGTTTCAGTAACCAATGCCAGTGTCTTTCTTTTAAATTTTGGAAGCAATTAATTTGCCCTCAATTGATGATAATGTGCCTATTTATTGTTAATGGTAATACCAATCCAACTATGACAGAAACGACAGGAACAGAAACTTAATAGTCACAGTCATATGCCTAAGTCAAAAGGCATAAAGGTGCGTGGATGCTCTTACAACTACCTTAAAGGGACTATCCCACCTTTAACATGGGGGGGGTGTTCACGGGCACCGCACACTGCTGCGTGCGGTGTGTGCGGTACGTCCAGCAGGCGTGGGGGTAGGGGATGGGTAGGCGGCTCTGACGTCACGGCTGCGTGCGGTGGACGGTCCGCTGTGGCCAGTCCCGACCGGCCACAGCGGTCGCTGTGTGCGGTGACGCAAGGCTGACGTAGGGACGCAGTGGGCGGAGCTTGGAGGCTGTGTGCGGTCCGACCGCACACAGGGCCCGTGAACAGCCCTGGGGTTTGACTTTGAGTTGAGATAGCCAAGTTTGCGGCGAGGTTCCGAAACCACTATCTATCTAGGTTGCAACCCCCGCGGCCTCTTGGTGTTGAAGAAATTTGTTCCCTTCATTTGAAAATGGGCCTTGTACAAGGCCCTATCTTCAACATGGAGCGACCGTTAGTGTGACGTCACCTCGTTTAGTCATTCTGATTTAAATGGGTTTGTTCGTTGAAAAATCGCTTAAAACTTGGTCTGAACTTTGTTGTGGTGCCTACAGAGTAAAAAGAATCAGCTTTATGACAGTAATGTGGCCTGGGGAAGGAGGTAATTTTGGGCTGTGACGTCACATATTTGAAAGTTTGTGTTTGGAATATGGGAAGCCTAAGATGTTTAATGAAAAATAAATGCCAGAACCGTGTTCCTGGTCATCCAATCTATAAAGTCGGGCACAATTTAACTGGTTTTAACAACATTTTAGAAGGTGGGATAGTCCCTTTAAGTTATAGTAGGTACTAGGGAGCAGTTATCACTTATCAATAATGATAATGAATTAAAACAGTTTTGACAAGAACGTTTCATTGAGCTACTTGAGCACATTACTCTGATGTTCAAAACTTTGGGGTGACTGCAATATCTAATCAAATATCAGAAATTCAAAATTTGAATGCATGTAAGGCCCCCTCATACATTCAAACACCAATTGTTTTGTTCAAGGCCCTATATACCGTTTTGATACAGGTTTTGATATACCTAATATAGTCCCCGGTATTAGTATATATAAGGTCACAGATAACAGTAGTACTACTGTTATCTGTGACCTACTGTTATCTACTGTTATCTGTGATAAGGTCCGAGTGGCAAACCGATTACGAAAAGCATACTATACGATGTATTTTGACCTCCTCATTTCATATCTGATAGTTCTTCCTTCTGGAACCAAGTATCAAAGCACCTATGAAATACTTACAAGTTACAGTTACCGCAAATCGCTACCGCACTCCACACACCAACTCCACACTAGCGCAATCAGCGCAATGTGCCGGGCGGCAATTACTTGCGCAAAGCTGGCCAAGGTCAAGTAAATCAAGGATGATATCTAACAGTTGCTATTCAACTGTGAATAATGACGTCATAATACTTCTCGCGGCGAAGCAGCGCAGTGCCGAAGGCAATGCCTTAGGCAGCGGCGTATTTAGAAAATCGCGAAGAAGGGGGCCAAGGGTTTGGAGGGCGCCGCGCCACCTCACCCAAGGAGGGCGCCATACGGTCGCGAGATAAAAAAATCGCTCAGTGGGGGTTGGGGGGTTGGGAGGCGTTTTTTACCATGCCACCAGTTTTTTTTTGCGTAACCTCGTATAGGTCGTGCTGCATTGATTTTGCATCGTGTGTATTCTTTATACTTCAGGTCACAAAAGGTCAAGTGTTCTTGAAATGCTGCGCCGAAGGCGCGCGAAATTTTTGAAAACAACCTTTTCCTCCGCTTTTTAGGCACGCCTTTTATACGATCACTGTTCAAAGCTCCTCTCGCTCTTTTACCAAATTTGAAGGTGTAAAAAATACCTAAGGTTTGGTCGGGCCGCTGCCACACAAACTGTACAGAAAGCGTGGCTCATGGGTGTCGATGTATAAAAGTTTATTGGCGGTGGCATATCTACGCACCAGATCACCGTATCGGATTGATACCGGAGCGCGAGATGCGTAAACATCATCCAAATTACCTCAGACCAGCCTTCATAACCTTCTCACAGATGCATAGTGTACCCACATAACCAGTTTCAAAAGTACGTCGAGTATAAAGTACGTATGGAATAAGTACGTCAAGGACGGAAGTAGGCGTAGGTATCGCAGAGGTAGGTACATACAGTACAAAGTACGTATACCTAGACAAAAGTACCTACGTCAAGGAAGAAAATACGCATCGAAAAAGTACGTAAATTATAAATTACGTATATCGCTAAGCATAGATGTCGCAATCGGTCGCAACTACAGCGAGACATGCAGTGCAAACGGTAGCAGACAGCAGTAGTTTCCCCTACCAAAGTGGTGGTTTTCTACCACAGACGCTCGTCGAGGTCGGAAATTCCAAATACGCGTTTCAATCACCGAAACTTCAGATGCCTGCTGTTGCGCCCGAACCTGTTGACAATACTTAATCGTAATCCATATAGATGCCATGATGCACGTAAAGTAGGATCAATCCGTTAAGACCAAAGACGTGTTTTATGCATCGTAGAGCGTAGATAGTTTTGGTAGGTATAGATACTTCATTCATTGTGCTGAATGCACGTTCATTTGCGGCAGTTTTCACAGGCAAGACATCAACTATGTGCAATAGAACGACTAAGTTGAAAAACATGCCAAAGGAGTAAATAAATGATAGGAGGGCAGCGATCAACGGATGTTGCCAATAGGTAGAAGGGCTGCGATCCACAGGAGGGCACTAATAGGTAGAAGAGCCCCGATCAACATCCCGAGTTTCGACAGTAGGGCACCGATAGGTAGGAAGTTGGTGAGCAGCAGGAGGGCGCCAATGGATAGAAGGGCAGCGATCAACAGGAGGGCACCAATAGGTAGGAGGGCGCCGATCAACAATCAACAGGAGGGCGCCACCAGGTAAGAGGGTGGCGAGGAACAGGAGAGCACCAATAGGAGGGTGGCGATCAACAAGAGGTCGCCAATAGGTGGGAGGGCGGTCATCAACTGGAAGTCGCCAATGAGCGGAAGGGTGACGATTAAAATGGGGGTGGCAATGGTGAGGAGGGCGCCTTTGCTCAAGAGGATGACACGAACAGGAGGGCGTCTGTGCGGAGGGCGCTGGTCAACAGGAAGGTGCCAGTGGATAGGAGGGCGGTGATCAACAGGAGGGTGCCAGTGGTTAGGAGGGCGGCGATCTACACGAGGGCGCCAATAGGAGAAGGGCCGCGATTAACATTCAACAGGAAGGACTAGGGAACCAATAGGTAGGAGGGCGGCACTGAACAAGAGGGTGCCAAAAGGGAGAAAGGCGGCCTTCAAAATTTCACATGAGAGCGCAATAGGTAGGAGAGCGCCAATAATTATGAGGACGCCGATCAGCAGAAATGCGGCAATGTGTAGCAGGGTGGCAACCTACAGGAGGGCGCCTTCGGGTGAGAGGGCGCTTATTTACAGGACAGCGGCTTACATAGGCGACCACCGTTACGCTTAGAGAGCTACAGCCTACAAATGTGGTTGGAGGGCGCCCGAGGGAGCCCTTCAACCGTATTTGGAGGGCGTATTTGGAATGGGCGTCCTCCGAGGGCACCCTCCATCCGTATTTTCCCTGTAAACACATTCGCGATTGGAGGGCGCCCTCCAGTCGCGATTGTTTTTCGATTCGATTATATCACAATTGCATTTGCGATTGGAGGGCGCCTTCGGCGCCCTCCAATCGCAAAGGGCGCCTTCGGCGCCCAAGGGGGGGGCCATGGCCCAGTGGCCCCCCCCCCTGCCTACGCCCCTGGCCTTAGGAGAGATTACAGGCAAGAGTAAATCAAATATTTTTAGGTTAAGTGGTTATGTATCTGGCTTCAGGCCGAAGGCCTGAAGCCTGATGCATGACCACTTAACCTAAAAATATTTGATTTACTCTTGCCTGCAATCTATTCCTGCAAGTAACTTTTTCCTTATCCCCGGTAGGCAAACATCAGTAGGTTAGGTTAGGTTAGGTTAGGTTAGGTTAGGTTAGGTTAGGTCAGGTTAGGTTAGGTTCCTTTTTTGTAATTATGACGTCACTTTCATCACACCATTCGTATCATTTTCTTTTTCCCCACCCAAAACCCCTGTTCCTAAAATTTCCCCTGAAATGGCAGCAATCCACATATGGCAGCGCTACAACGCCCACGTTTTTCATTCGTCGCGTGTTAATGCCGCCGGGTGGTAGTGTTGTGAAATGGGTTGGTGATTTGGTGTTTTTTCCACGTTTCCAGTACATGTAAGTATCATTTTTGGATTCAGGATGTCAAATAATGTAAGAATGTGAAAACTTTATCTTTTAACAGGCACTCGGACCTTATGTATACTTTTACCTAGTCCCCTAATATACACCACCGCGTGCCCACCGTGGGCCCTGTTTCACCGGTGATAGCAGCACGCTGCTATCAAATTGCGCGAGCTGACGTAATGTGATGACGTCATACTGCTGACGTAAGGGGCAATTCTGGCGCACGATTGCCGCAATATTGTTTTACGTCATCAGCTAAATGTTCGAAGTTAATACGCAACCGAAGTGTGACGTCATGACTACTGGCTGGGGCATAATCAGCTGACGGCCCTGTGTTAAAGCAATGGGACGAAATTTTATCAGCATTTTTAGAACAAACTGGACCTAGTTAGATAGTTTGGGGGCCAGTTTCTAGGTAAACTGAGCATATTCTGTTTTTCTACGCCCAAAAAATGCTATGTTTCAAAGCGGAAAGGACCGAATTTCGCGAAATTGTTACGGGCGGCGAACTTGACGCACCAAATACATGACCTTGAGATGCGAACTGTGACCGCGTCGGGAGGATTTTAATGCGTAAGGTTTGACATATTTGAGTTTGAGCTGGATAAATAATTTTTATTCGTAAAAAGCAAAGGAGAAAATTCACCATATAAGTTATTTTGAAAATCTTTTTTATTTTAAATCCATTATTTTAAAACTCTTGATCTAAAATGTTTTGTATTTCTGCGTCAACTTCGCCGCCAATTAGGTTTTCACGAAATTTTGTGCTTTGCGTTGTTAGATTTTGCAATATTTTTTCATAGAAAAATAGATCATACATCGTTGTCCTAAATTCAGATACTAAAACTATCTAACTAGGTCCAGTTTTCTTGGGAAAGATCGGCAAAATATTGCCCCATTGCTTTAGCACGGGGCCGTCAGCTGATTATGCCCCAGCCACTTATCGTGACGTCACGACTTCGGTTGCGTATGTCCAAATTTTTCCTAAACCCAACTTCTTTTAAATACATCATATTGAAAAAATATATATCAAAAATATATATACTATCATGACTGCGTAAACTCTTACTTTTAGGCTCATACGTCACTTAATGCCGCCGCCAAGGTCGCGGCAATCGTGCGCCGGAACTACCCATTACGACAACAGTATGGCGTCACGACATGACGTCAGCTCGCGAAACGTGATAGCAGCTTGCTGCTATCACCGGTGAAACAGGGGGGTGTGTATCAAATGTACCCAAGTACAGTCGGACCCAGAATCCAACGGGACCCAAGATTCATAAGTACCCAGGTGCCTCAGGCTATACGGAAGTACCATAGCGACGTTGGGTCCCAAGGTCCAAGGTTGCCAGAATATGATTGGCTGAACAGGCAGACCAATCGAACGAGCTGTTAGAAACTACTGTACCTCAGTACACTCTCTGACAGTGGGCAAGTGCGGTGAAGAGTTCGCATACCAAAGTGACCCTTCCGGAGGACCGGCGGCCGGCGTCCAGTCAGGTAACAATGGGAAGGGTCGGAGCCCGGAGGGACGGCCCGCCGCGCCGCACGGTGACAGCTGATTCCCGGGACGCTCAAGTGTCGCCTGTCAGACGCGTCGCCTGCCTCCCCCCTCCCGCCCCGCCGAGCCGCACAAAGCAGCCGGACCCTGTCGCGGAACGAACCACCCGACCATGCTGTCATCATCGGCGGCGAACTGAACTGAATGTCTTTCTGAGTCGTGGCGCTGAGCAAGCCTGAATAACCGGTCATGCTTGCGTATTTCATGCTTCAGCCCTGCTGTGAGCCATATTTTATGATTGCGGATCTTTCGCCGGCTCAGGGGGGGGGGGGGGGGGGGTTGATGAGGTTTTTCGCGAATAACTCGCGTAAAAAGCGGCCGATCGCGACGAAACTTAAGTACCCTCGCATTGATCAATTTTACACCTACCCTGAAAATGTCATGACCCTGACCCAAATGACCTTTGACCTGTGACCTCTTTTCCGAGACCATGTTTGGCCGGAATCGCGATTCGGCGTATGTCGGCTCGCATTAGCCGCGCGTTTGCAAGCTTTTCGTGGTTTCAAACGTTCAAACATGTGATTTGATGTTGCTCCCATACATTAGGGTGGGTGTCAAGGTCACCTGAAGGTCAGGTCAGGTCATTGACCTTTGGTGACCTCGGGTGACCTCGGTTCACCTTTTCGAGTTTTGCATGTTTCTAGCCTAGTTTTTGGAGCTGAATTCGAATTTAGCAATCATTTTAACATTTACGAAGTAGTTTTGGTGCCTTCGTAACATGTTACGAAGCTGTCAGAGGCGGTTGACACGTATTACGAATACCCGTCACAACCCCTACCGGTTGACCTGACCTGACCTGACCCGACCTGGTCTAAATGCTTAAAGACATCATCTCTGATCAAAACTAACACGATATTCGTGATCGTGAAATTACAGGTATGGTAAAACGTCCCAACTTTGGTTGTCACCTGGTTATGAGTATGAGTTCCGTTTGTATAGATAATGCATTTAATATTCCAGTTTCGGCGGTACTACTCTATTATTTAGGTAAGCACTAAGCAGAAACGTATTAACGTCAGTAACGTGCTTTGGGAGTATATGATTGGATGGAGAACCGTTAAAAAAACAATACTTCAGCATTTGCAAGCAAAGCTACCTAGCTCAATAAATTCACCCATTGCAAAAAAAATAATGTTTTCAATGTCTTCGTCATCTATTTACCCCAATCAGCAACAATGCATCACAATATAGCCATTTCTGGATTGTGGCAAGCAAATAAAATGGTCAAGGCTGAAACAGATTTTCCGCAGTCAGGAAATCGCATGCGAGAGCCTATTCAAATACATTACAATCCTTCCCGCATCAAACGCATGCGGGAGGTGCGTACGATTGATGCGAGCGTGATTTAATCAATTTGAATAGGCTCTCGCATGCGATTTCCTGACTGCGGAAAGAGTCTGTTTCAGCCTTATTAGAAACCATGCCGGTGCGTTTTGTGAATTTTACAATGCTTGTTTGTAGCGGTATATCTTATATCTGTCATTTATCCCGCGTCGTACTTCGTAGTCAGTATTTTCAATTGCTTCACGTGCTAAGAGAGAAAATTATCAGATGTTGAGTAAATGATTTGTTTAACAGGTTCTAGACGTGTAACAGTTGTTAAACGTCTACTGTGACGATTAACAAACTGTTAAACGTCTAGTAGACATTACATGAAATATGTCGGCGGCACGGGATAAAATTATTAAACCGCTCGTAGGTAGAAAAATCTTTTAAACGTCTCGCCTATCGGCTCGACGTTTAAAAGATTTGTTGTAGGGGAGAGTGGGGCAAAGCGGCCACCCTAACGCTTCTCACGATGCCAACGCTTGATTTTTAAACTTGGAAAGATCGGTGGTCGCGCTTTTGCGAGGCTTATATCTCAGCAACCACTTGACCGATTTACATGCGGTAATTAGTAAAGAAGCTTCATTCCTTCTATCAAGTATTGGATTATTCCTGATGAATGTGGGTGACCCCTTATGTACGTGCTACTTGCAAAACAAAGAGGTGTCAGTTTTGTAACAATTGCAATATCGGGCCGATTGCGCTGAAAGTTGGCATGTACAGGGTGTCTCATAAGATCGTTCTCACCTAAATTTTACTTTTAAGGCGTACTCTTGTTTTACAACACGTTCAGCGTAACTCGCAAATTAACCCGCGCCCCACTGGGGTGGGGGTGGGGGGGGCTATTCAATATTCATAGCCCCCTGCCGTTTTTCTACTGCAATAACTTCTAAACCGCCGCCGCCACACTTTCAGTACCTTCGGCTGCATCAATTTGACATCTTGTGTCAAAATTTGAACTTCGTATCCATCATAGGTCGGCCGGAAATGACGTCAGAGTGACGTCATGTTCAGCCGATTTCGACGCAAAACATTGAACCGCGGGAATCGGTCCCAAGAGCTCAGTTTTTGAGCTAGATCCAATTTATTTGCATGAGAGGACTCCGAATGGACTGCGCTATCAAACTGCCATCTCGAATTTTCAAAATTTGTATTTTTATCTTTTTCAAAAACTTTTTGACTTTTCGAAGAAAAAAAACGGAATACATATGATATAAAAAACGGAATACATGCTTATGACTTACCTGCTCTATGCTTGAGGCTCAAAAAACGGAGCGCTGAGGACACCAGTAAGGTCATGTGGACTAATTCATGATCGAGATGAAACACTCGCCTAAATCCCAAAACGGTCTCATAAGCGCGAAAGACAGTGCCTCCTTTTCGCCCCTCTTGGTTCCTGTTCAAAAGGCCAGGGCCACGGTATTATGGGGTTATAGGCGCCCAGGTGCTAACTAAAGTTGCACGAGGTACCCCAAAACTAGTTTTTTTTACGAAGACTGGTTCACCAGAAGATCTAGGGATCTAAGAGAAGCTTCTTAAAAAGCTCATATGTTTTTCTGTAATTATCGCTGACGAAGCTTCAGGAGCGCCTATTCGATAACTTTAGATATAACTTTTTGGCTCCTATTTCTGATTTATATTATGAGGTTACTGGTTATTCTTATTATTATTATGATCTAAGAGAAGTCTCTACTTTCCAGCTTAACTCAAACCGTCAGTATGGACTCAGTTTTGGAGGGGAAAATGGCATCAGGGAGATCGGTCGGTCGGTGATACATTAAAGCATTGAGGCAAGTATGATGACT